TTTTTTCAGATGGAATCTCCCTCTGTCGTCCAGGCCGGAGGGCAATGGTGCAATCAATCTCAGCATACTGCAACCTCTGACTCCTAGGTTTAAGCGATTCCCCTGCCTCAGCCTCTTAAGTAGCTGGGACTACAGGCATGCATCACCATGCCCAGCTAATTTTTGTATTTTCAGTACAGACAAGGTTTCACCATGTTGGCCAGACTGGTCTCCAACTCCTGATCTCTGTGATCCACCCGCTTTGGCCTCCTAAAGTGCTGCGATTACAGATGTGAGCTGTGGTGCCCAAACAAAAGCTTTTTTAAAAAAACTAGAAAGCCTTGTGGGATTAGGCTAGGCAGCAGCTCATGCCTAAGGCTCATCCTGGGGCTATGGGAGGCCAAACTGGGAAGACTGCTTGAAGCTAGGAATTTGAAACCAGCCTGGACAACATGCTAAGACCCCATATCTACAAAAAATGAGAACACTTGCTGGCGAAGTGGCAAGCACCTGCTGGAGTATCACTTGAACTCAGGAGTTCTAGGCTGCAGTGAGTGAGCTACAGTTGTCACTACATTCCAGGCTGGATGATGAAGCAAGACCCTGTCTCAAAAAAAAAAAAAAAAAAAAAAAAAAGAGAGAGAAAGCTTTGAGGGCTTAATTTCTTAGTATTCCTAATACTTGGCACAGTGCCCAATATAGCACACCATAATCACTGGAGGCCTATATGTATTCAAAATCTAGAGTACATTTATGACCATTTTATAAAATTAAGCTTATTGTTTTTAATAGTTCATTCACAAAAGAAATACATGAGTAACTCCCACATGCCAGGCATTGAGTTAATAATAGAGGAATGATCAAAATAGGCATAATCCCTATATTCATGTAGCTTATATTTTAGTGGTGCAGAAAGACAACAAATAATCAATATGCAAAAGAATGACAGATTATCAATATGCAAAAGAATGACAGATTATCACGAATGTTAAGAAGAAAATAAGACAGGGAACACTGACAAGATAGCTTAAATAGAATGGATCTTTCTGAAGGGATGACATTTAAGCTGACTGCAAAACATGAATGTTTAAACAAGGTCAGGGAGAAAACCAGAGACAGGATAGAAATTTCTAAGCTTATCAAAAAAAGAATAGATGAAAACGTCTTGCATCTTGGGAGAGTTAAAAGCCATCATTGGAGGCATGGAGCAAGATGGAAAACAGAAACTTCTACAGATGTTCACCCACATAGAACGTCAAATTTGACAACTATCTACACAAAAAAAGCACCTTCATAAGAACCAAAAATCAGGTGAGTAATCACAGTATCTGGTATTAACTTCATATTGCTCAAAGAGGCACTGAAGTGGGTAGAAAAGATGATCTTGAATCATCGACACCCCCCTCCCTCATCCCCCAGTGGCCCTGTGGTATGGAGAAAGAATCTGAGAACTTGGGGAAGGGAGAGTGCAGTTTCTGTGGGACTGTGCATTGAACTAAGAGTTGTTCTGTCACAGTGAAAAGCAAAACTAAGTGGAACTCAGTCAACACCCACCCCCAAAGGGAGCATTTAGACCAGCCCTAGCCAGAAGGGAATTGCCCATCCTAGTGGCCAGAACTTAAGTTATGGCAAGTGCTCTGGAGACAATGAACATGGGGGGCACATAACCTAGTGAGACACAAGCTGGAGCAGTTAAAGGAGTGCTTGCACCACCTTCATTCAACCCCAAGCCGTGCAGCTTACAGAAACAAAAGTGATGCGTTCCTTCTGCTTGAGTTAAAAAGAGGGAAGAGTAAAGAGGCCTTTGCCTTGCAACCTCGCTATCAGCTCCGCCACAAGAGGATAGGGCAGAATCATGAGGTCCCCATTCCAGACCCTAGCTTCCTGATAGCCTTTCTAGACATACCCTGGGCCAGAAGGAAACCCACTGCCTTGAAGGGAAGGACCCAGTCCTGGCAAGATTTATCACCTACCGACTAAAGAGCCCCTGGGCCCTATATAACCATCAGCAATAGCCCGGTAATATGCCACGGGCCTTGGGTGAGACTCTGAGACATGCTGGCTTCAGGTGAGACCCAGCGTATCTCCAGCAATGATGGCTCTGGTGAGAGACTACTTCTACTTGAGAAAAGCAGAGGGAAAAGTAAGATACTCTGTCTTGCACCTTAGGTACCCAGCTTGGCCACAGTAGGGTAAAGCAACAAATGGTCTCTTGGGGACCTGATTCCAGGTCTTGACTCTTAAATAGCATTTCTTTTCTTTTCTTTCTTTCTTTCTTTTTTTTTTTTTTTTTTTTTTTTTTTTTTTTTTTTTTTTTTTTTTTTTTTTTTAAAGAGAAATGGTCTTGCTATGTTGCCCAGGCTGGAGTGCAGTAGCTATTCACAGGGGCAATCCCACTACTGATCAGCACTGGAGTTTTGACGTGCTCCGTTTCTGGCCTGGGCCGGTTCACCCCTCCTTAGGGAACCTGGTGATCCCCCGCTCCCAGGAGGTCACCATATTGATGCCGAACTTAGTGCACACACCCCATCAGCATAGCGCACTACAGCCCAGAACTCCTGGGCTCAAGCAATCCTCCCACATCAGACTCCTAAGTAGCTGGGACTACAGGCACGCGCCACTGCATCCGGCTTAAACAGCATTTCTGAAACTGTCCCAGGCCAGAGGGGGGCCCACTTCCCTGAAGGATGAGTCCCAGGCCTGGCAGCATTCACCACAAGCTGACTGAAGAGTCCTTGGGCTTTAAGTGAAAATCAGCAGTAGACTGGCAGTCCACCCCATGGGCCTATTGTGGTAGTGGCCATGGGGAGAGGCTCCTCTGCCTGTGGAAAGAAAGAATGAGAAGGACTTCATCTTGCACTTTGAGTGCAAGCTTAGCTGCAATAGTATAAAGCATGAGGTAGATTTCCAAGGTTTTCGACTCTAGTTCCTGGCCCCCAGAAGGCATCTCTGGACTAGCCTGCGACCTGGGGGAACTTGGTACCCTGAAAAAAAGGTCAGAAGCCTGGTTGGCTTCAATATTTGCTGATTGTAGAGCCTTGGATAAACATAGGCAGTAGGCAGGTAGTAGTAACAGTGAGCCATGAGTGAGACTCAGTGCTGTGGTAGCTTCTGGTGTTACCCAGTGCAGTCCCAGTGGTGGTGATCACAGGCGGGCTTCTGTCACCGCACTTCCAGCTCCAGGTAGCTCAGCATAAAGAAAGAAACTCCATTTGTTTGAGAGAGAGAGAGAGAGAGTAAGAGAAGAAAACAAGAATCTCTGCCTAGTAATCCAGAGAATTCTTTCGGATCTCATCTCAGACTATCAAGGCAGTACCACTGTGTCTGCAAGAACTAACGTGTTGACTGCACTTAGAGTGCAGTTAATGGAAATAAGGCTTAGGTCACAACACTCAAGTCCCTTTGAATACACGTAACACACAAGTCCCTTTGAATACACACAACACACAAGTCCCTTTGGGGGAAATCCTTCCCCCAAAAAAGATAGGTACAAACAAGCCCAGTCTGCGAAGACAATAAATACCTAACTCTTTAACATCCAGACACAGATGAACATCCAAAAACATCAAGACCATCCAGGAAAATATGACCTCTCTAAATGAATTTAACAAGGTATCATGAGACATAGGACCTTTCAGACAGTGAATGCAAACTAGCTGTTTTGAGAAAACTCAAGGAAATTCAAGATAAAACAGAGGAGGAATTCAGAATTCTTTCAGATAAATTTAACAAAGAGATGGAAATAATTAAAAAGAATCAAGTACAAATTCTGGAGATGAATGCATATTCTCTTAAAAGCAGAATTCATCAAGCAGAAGAAAGAATTACTGAGCCTGAAGACAGGCTATATGAAATATACAAAAGAGACCAAAAAAAAAAGAATAGAAGAGAATGAAGAATGCTTGTAAAATGTAGAAAATGGTCTCAAAAAAGCAAATCTAAGCGTAATTGGCCTTAAAGAGGTAGTAGACAGAGATGGGGTAGAAAGTTTACTGAAAGGGATAATAAGGGAGAACTTCCCAAACTTAGAGAAAGATATCATTATTTAAGTACAAGAAGGATATAAATCACCAGGAAGATTTAACCCAAATAAATCTACCTCAAGGCATTTAATACTCAAACTCACAAAGGTCAAGGATAAAGAAGGGATCCTAAAAGCAGCAAAAAAAAAAAAAACATACAATGGAGCTCCAGTACACCTGGCAGCAGACTTTTCAACAGAACCTTCCAGGCCAGGAGAGAGCAGCAGGATATATTTAAAGTGCTGAAGGAAAAAAAATTGTACCCTAGAATAGTATATCCAGCAAATATAACCCTCAAATATGAGAGGAAACAAACACTGTACCAGATAAACAAAAGCTGAGGGGTTTCATCAACACGAGACCTGTCTTACAAAAAAAAAAAATTGCTAAAGGGAGTATCTTAAGTCAGGAAAGAAAGGCACATTAATGAGTAATAAGAAATCATCTGAAGGTACAAAACTCACTTTTAATAGTAAATACATTTAAAAAACACAGACTATTATAACACTGTAACTGTAATGTGTAAACAACTCATGTTTTTAGCAGAAGGACAGATGAACTGATCAAAAATAACTACAACATTTTTTCAAAACAAACAGTACAGTAAGATAAAAATACTGGCAACAAAAAATTAAAAAGCAGGAAGAAAAAGCTAAGGTGTAGATTTTTTTTTTTAATTTTCTTTTTGCTTGCTTGCTTGTTTTTTGTATAAGCAATCACGGTTGTCATCAGTTTAAAATAATGAGTTACAGATATTATTTGCAAACCTCATGATAACCTAAAATCTAAAAACATACAACAGATACACAAAGAATAAAAGCAAGAAACTAAATGATACCACCAGAGAAAATGACCTTCATTAAAAGGGAAATAGGAAGGAAGGAAAGAAGGAAGACAAAACCACAATACAACCGGAAAACAAAAAACAAAATGGCAGGAGTAAGAGCTTAGTTACCAATAAAAACATTGAATGTAAATAAACTAAATTCTCCAAACAAAAGATCTAGAGTGGCTAAGCAGATGAAAAAACAAGACATAATGATTTGTTGCCTATTAGAAACATACTTCACCTATAAAGATACCAGCAGACTAAAAATAAAAGGATGAAAAAAATATTCCATGTCAATGGAAACCAAAAAAGAGCAGAAGTGGCAATACGTACATCAGACAAAATAGATTTATTTCAAGACAAAACCCATACAGAGAAAGAAGATAATTATATAACGATAAAGGGGCCACTTCATCTAGAGAATATAACAGTTTTAAAAATATATGCACCCAACATTGGACTACCCAGATACATAAAACAAATATTATTAGAGCTAAAGAGAGGCATAGATCTCAATACAATAATAGCTGGAGACTTCACTCCCCACTTTCAACACTGGACAGATCTTCCAGACAGAAAATCAACAAAGGAACATCAGACTTAATCTGTGCTACAGACTAAATAGGCCTAATAGATATTTACAGCTGCAGAACATGTATTCTCCTCAGCATTTGTATCATTCTGAAGAATAAACCGTATATATGTTAGATCACAAGACAAGTCTTAAAACATTCAAAAACAATGAAATAATATCAAGCATCTTCTTTAACCACAATGGAATAAAACTAGAAATCAAACAAAATAACAAGAGGAATTTTAGACACTATACAAACACATGGAAATCAAACAGTATACTGCGGAATGACCAGTGGATCAATGAAGAAATTAGGAAGGAAATTGAAAAATTTCTTGAAACAGATGAATATCAAATAGAAACACAACATACCAAAAACCTACAGGAGACAATGAAAGCAGTTTTAAGGGGCAAGCTTATAGCTATAAGTGGCCACATCAAAAAAGAAGAAAAACTTCAAATAAATAACAGTGTATCTTAAAGAAGTAGAAAAGCAAGAGCAAACCAAACCCAAAATTAGATGAAAATAAATAATAAAAATCAGCAGAAATAAATGAATTTGAAATGAAGAATACAAAATAATAATACAACAAAGTGTTGGTTTTTTGAAAAAAAAAAAAAAAAAAAACAAACATTTAGCCAGAAAAAAAAAAAAAAAAAAAAAAAAAAAAAAAAGGGAGAAGATCCAACTAAAATCAGAGACAAAAAAAGGACACATTACAATCTATACCACAGAAACTCAAAGGATCATTATTGGCTACTATGAGCAACTATAGGCCAATAAACTGGAAAACTTAGAAGACATGGATAAATTCCTAGACACATACAACCTACCAAGACTGAACCATGAAGAAATCCAAAATCTGAACAAATCAATAACAAATAACAAGATCAAGGGCCATAATAAAAAGTCACCTAGCAAAGTCAAGTCTGGAACCCTATGGCTTCACTGATGAATTCTATCAAATATTAAAAGAACTAATACCAGCTGCTGGCCGTCGCCTCCCCGAAATGAAGACACTGAGGCCCAGAGAGGTTAAGTGACTCAGCCAAGGTCAAAGAGCTAGTAAGTGGTGGAGCCAGGATTCAAACCCAGGAGCCATGTCCACTTTGTTTCCCTTACTCTTCCCCTGTGTGACTGAGACATTGTGGTTTAATCTGGGTCGACCCTGTGTAGAAGAGACAGAGCTGCAGCAGCAGGAACAGCAGCATCGGGCCTGGCTCCAAAGCATCTCAGAGAAAGATAACAACCTGGTTCCTATTGGCAAGCCAGCCTCTGGATGGTATGACGACAAGGAAGAGAAGGATGATGAAGACGATAAGGATAGTGAAGAGGACTTAGAGGGTGATGAGGATATGCAGGACATAGACGAGATGAATTACTACAATGAGTCACCTGATGATGGAGAGGTCAATGAGGTGGACATGGAAGGCAACGAAAAGGATCAGGACTAGTGGATGATCTAGGTAGACAAGGCAGGCTGGCCTCAGGGAGATTCCAGGCCAGCCCAACCTACCCTGCATCCAAACCTCCAACCCCTGCCCACAGAACAAGCTGATGGCCCCAGTGCCTGAATGTGCCCTAGGGCACCTCCTCAGCTGCTGTCCGGATCTGGTTTCCTTGGACTCTCCCAGGCCATCAATCTGCACTTGAAATTCCCAGGGCCTGAGCCCACTCCATCTTCCTGGACAGTATCTCACCCCTTGGTTGCCAGGTCTGGTCTCTTTCTAAGTTTCTTTAATAAAGACAAATGAGTGATTTCCCCCCTGCGTTCCCCCCACAAAGAAAAAAAATTACTTGGAACTTGAAAGAAGATCCTGAGAAGAGTATCAAATATTTACCACTAATCAAAATGTGATAAACAACCTGAGAACATAAGAGAATGTCATCTCATATCAACTTTAATATCTGGTATTTAGATTTCAATTTTTATTTCCAAGTTGCATTAGATCATTAATTAGTTATGAAGCAATTGAGTCTTATCATAATACCCGAGAAAGAAACAAGTATAGGAGAATGCAGCACAGATACATCTTTAATTTGGTGGTGAAGTATTAATAATGAATAATAATTGACATTAATGGGTACTCATAAAATAGTTATTATTTTAGCATGTTCTGAATAAAAATTATAATGTATTCCATTTGATTATTCTGCATTACTAATTCAAGAGCAGCACAAATTATGAAACTGTGTCCTGCATATTTATTTGCTTCTTTTGGCTACACTTGTCCTCTTAAGAGCTCATTTTTGTTGTTGTTGTTATTGTTATTTTGAGACAAACTCTTGCTCTGTCACCTAGGCTGGAGTGCAGTGGTGCAATCTCGACTCACTGCAACCTCTGCCACCTGGGTTCAAGTGATTCTCCTGCCTCAGCCTCCTGAGTAGCTAAGATTAAAGGTGTCACCACCACGCCCAGCTAATTTTTGTATTTTTAGTTGAGACGGGGTTTCACCATGTTGGTCAGGCTGGTCTCGAACTCCTGACCTCATGATCCACCTGCCTCAGCCTCCCAAAGTGCTGGAATTACAGGTGTGAGCCACTGCGCCCGGCAAGAGCTCATTTTTATTCGGGCTAAGCTTTTATTCAGCTGTCATAAGCATCTAAAAAACCATTTAAGGGGAAATTCAGAGTGGCTTTAGACAGCTATCTTTAGACTATGATCATTTTTTTCTGCTGAGTTTGTAAAATAATAATACCCAAATGACAACAATGATTGCAATAACCTAGCTATTCTATAAGCCACAGAACTGTGATGAAACAAAAACAATGAAATAGTACTTTCTCCAATACGTCAAGCACGAGCTTGCTTTCATTGCCCAAGAAGTCATTTGAACCTTGTTTATGCAACAATAAAAGATGATTGAATCCTGCTTTGCGCATGTATAGCCCAAGTCAAACATCAGTTAGAGCAGTCAGTTCCTGAAATGTCTTCAATTGAAAGCACCTGAGCCCTCACCTGCTCACTTATCCCTCACCATTGCCTGGGTGGTTTTCTTCTCTCGAGCTGTAATCAGCATCTGCCTGCACACTTTCCTTGAACACTTCCAAAGATGTGTCCAACTGGTTGCCTTCTAAGTTTGAAGACTCATATTATGAAAGTCCTTAAAAATGGCTCCTAGACCAGACCTTATTCTAGATGTGGCTTGACAGGTGTAGAATACCATTGCCTTTCTTTCAACCAAACAATTCATTCCTGTTAGTGTAGCCTGAAAATGCATTTGTGGGTTTTATTCACCATGTTATTGTCTTCTAAGATGTCTGTAATTATCCCTAAATGTAGAGGACCTTTCCTTGTTTTGCCAAAAAAAGTGACATGTTTGTGCACTTAAATCACTCATCATTACTTTGCTTGGTACACGATGAGCATCAATCATACTCATCTGCAAAGTTGGGTCATTTTTTTGCCTTCAGTAAAATTTTAATTGTTTATTTCTTTCATTAGGTGTATGGAATATCAGGTGTTAAGTTTAGTCAGCCCAGGATTTGATTTCTGGTTTATCTGTTGAGTAGCTAACTATGGGTAATTTACAGGCTTCCCATACTCCTTACATTTTTTACTTAAAAAAATGGATAAATTAGTTTGTGTCTCAAAGGATTGTTGTAATGAAGAAAAGTGATAATGAATATAAAGTGCTTACTGTAATACCTAGAGCATAATAGTTACATAATAAAAGCTGTAATTGCTTCTTTTTCAATTATTCTGGTAGCTTCTAGAGAAAATCAATTTCTTTACATCCAATCTCTGTTCCTCTCCTGTAGTTCTCATGTACTTTGTTCTTTTACTCAGAATCCTTAGAGCATCTCGTTATCTATTTCATTGATTTAGCTTTTTCTATATGCCACCTTGGATCTTTTGGTATCCAGTTCAGATTTTAATTCTGCTTTTGTAATTTTTGTTTACTTGAAAACGATATGGGCTGTATCTCTGAGTTTATGTTTTCATCTCAGCTGGTATTTGTATCTCATTCTGTTATGTTTTCCATATTTACTTGTTCTCTTCTTGGAGACTTTCTGCCTCTTTGTCCCAGGAACCTCCCTTCTTGATTCTAGTAGGAGATGCAATTTTTAAACTTTTTGTTCTAGTTTCTATAGTAAACACTTTTGCTACTAGAGGTCCTTTCTTGAGATTTTGAAAGCTCTATGTTCATTTTCTCTTTTTTTATTTCTGAAGAAGCAATTAATCCACCTTTGGTATTTGTCAACAGAATGAAAGGAGAGAGTCCCTTAGGCTTCACTGACTTGCTATGCAAAGGCCTGCACCAGGGATTGGCAAACTTTATCTGTAAAGGGCCAGAGAGGAAATATTTTAGGCTTTGCTGTTGTGATTATTCAACTCTGCTGATATAGCGTAAAAGCAACCACAACATGTAAACAAGTGGGCATGGCTCTATCCAGATAAAATTTTATTTGTAAAACCAAGCAGCAGGCCAGACCTGCTCCTGGTTATAGTTCACTTATCTCTGGTCTTGACTGTCAACTCCCTGAAGGCAAGGATCTTTTCTGTTTCCTTCACTTCTGTGTCTGCAGCACCCAGGACAGTGCCTGGCTCATCTTAGACCTCAGTAAATACTGATTGAGCAGCTGAACTATTATGTTATGATGAGTAGCCGGAAAATAGAATGTGTACTTCCCTAGCCCTATTTCCTCCATCATCTTGTGTGGATCTGCTGAAATCTCTCAGGGTAGGGTCTGTTCTACCCTCTGTGACTGACTTCAGTTGTACTGCAGTGACTAGTTTCATGTGTCAACTGGGCTTGACCAGCTGTTTGGCCAAATACTACTCTAGATGTTGCTGTGAAGCTGTTTTTTAGGCATGATTACATTTAAAGCATTCAACTTAAAGTGAATCAAATCATCCTTCATTAGGTAGGTAGACCTTATTCATTTGGTTGAAGGCCTTAAGAGCAAAGACTGAGGTCTCCCAAAGAAGAAAAAATCCTGCTGCAACATGGAAATTCTGCTGTGTTTCTAACGTTCAAACTCATGACTGCAACATCCAATCTTAGCTCAATCTCCAGATTGTCAACTTGCCCTGAAGATTTCTAACTTATCATCCCCTCAAACTGGATGAGCCAATTTTGAAAACTCAATGTATCTATATCTAACATCTATGTATCTATCATCTATCTATCTATCATTTATCTATCCATCTATCCTATTATCTATCTACCTATCACCTGTCTACCTAGCTATCTACCTACCTACCTATCTATTATTGGTTCTGTTTTATTGGATAACTTTTATACATATATTGATGAAATAGTGAAATAACGTGGCCCCAGCCTGCACTGCAAAGGGCCTGTTTTTGTCT